TATCAATGTAATTACTTTGGTTGTATCATGTCAGTCAGTCAGTCAGTAACAACGTGCAACTTCGTACGTACGTACATCAGTTTGAGTTGCCATACCACATTAGCACAGAGATTCAGTTATCGATTCAAATCCCATAGTGGTAGAGGTACTGAAATTATAAGTAGTAATAGGGAACATTAGGGTTTGATAATGTTATTCAAGGAGTATAGTCCAGTGGAATAAATCTGGAAAAATAAAAGACATGAAGAATTCAGAAGATTAGAGTTTGGGAGAACACAGAGAGTGGATGCACCTGCGCCATTGCAAACGATTTTGAGCCATGTCATTCAAAGTCTCTAACCATCGGTTGCTATCATCTCGCGGTCCCCAACCAGGTAGTCTACACCTACCAACATGACTCAGACCACTTGTCAGTGACTTCATGGATTTGTGCCATGTTTTGGTCTGGCCGCCCCTAGCTTTCTTCCAACCTACTCCTACACCATAAAACATAGCACGTCGTGGCAGTCGGTGGTCGGGCATGCGCAACACATGTCCCAGCCATCTCAACTGATTAAGTTTCACTACTTCCTCAATTGATTTGCCATCTCCACCTAGTACCCGTTTCCTAACAACTGCATTACTTACTCAGTGGTCCCAGGATATACGAGCAATGTTTCGAAGACACCTATGGTCAAATACTAGTAACCTACGAATATCATCGACTCTTACTGGCCATGTTTCACTGCCATAAAGTAGGACGGAACAAACTGCTGCGTAGTAAACACGTCCTTTGGTTGATAGACGGATATCTTGCCTACGCCACAAATGACGCAAGTTAGCAAAAGCTAGTCGAGCCTTCTGTATCCGTGCTGAGATTTCGTCACACACCAGACCACGAGGGCTGATGAGACTTCCAAGATAAGTGAGGCGGTCGACATGCTCAACTACTTCACTCCCTATCACTAGTTCGAGTGCTGATGCAACCCAATCCTGAAGCAACATTTTGCATTTCGATGGAGAGAATCGCATGCCGAACATGTCTGCATTGTTGCTTAGAGTGGTATTTTGTGGCATTTTGTCAGCGTCTTCACTAAATAGAACTATTTCATCGGCATATTCTAAGTCAACAGGCGGATCTCGCGGTAGAAGTTCAACTCCTGGAAATTTAGATGAGGAAAGTGTCATCTCTAAAAGGACGTCAACAACAAAGTTAAACAAGAATGGAGAGAGTGGACAGCCCTGACGAACACCACTTGAGGTAATCAGTTCTGATGACAGTTCGCCATAAGCTCTCACTCGACCAGTTGTGTTCGAGTAGAGAGCCTTTATAAGGTTAATGTACTTGTTTGGTACTCCTTTCAGTGACAAACACTGCCATAGAACCTCACGATCAACAGAGTCAAATGCCGCCTTAAGGTCGAGAAATACTACCATTGTGGGACGTCTGAATGTGTGTCTATGTTCTAGGATCTGACGTAGTGTGAATATTTGATCAATACAACCACGTCCAGGTCGAAAACCAGCCTGGTTTTCTCTAGTCTGCTCTTCACGAGCTTTGGTTAGACGTCGAAGTATTATTGAAGCTAATATTTTAGACACTATATTAGTCAAACTAATTCCTCTGTGATTGTCACAGGAGGACTTTTGTCCTTTCTTATAGACTGGCACAATCAGTGATTGAGACCAGTCAGATGGGATTACGTCCAGTTCCTAGATTCTACCTAAGACCTCAGTCAATCTCGCTGCTAATACTAGACCGCCATCCTTAAAAATCTCAGGGGTAAATCTGTTAGGGCCTGTTGCTTCAGGTTGCAGGTTTTTTGTAGCTTTTTCAAATTCGTAAAGAGTCGGAGAACTTACATTAACTTGCCATTCAGGTAGATTGGAGATCGTGGGAAACCGAAGTGTGGCTGAAGGCCAGTTGAACTGATCCCTAAAGTGTTCTGCCCATCGGTCCAATCTCCTAACTTGTTTTCTAGTCGTTCCTGAAATATACTCTTAGCCTGACTATCAATAAGTAGGACCCCAAGGGGTTCCCTTGCTAGCTTCTGTTGGTCCTTCACGACTCCCTGGCTGGGGTCCGAGAGACGGTGTAACACAGTGGCTAGAGACGTTACCAGATATGGCTCAGAATAGAAGCCAATGGCGATCCTGCTGTAACCTTCTTTTACTTTCTTCATAAAAAGTGGTTGCCTCTTCCTTAACTGAAAGATTTCTTCTGATTGTACCTTTCCGTTTTCCCCATTATTGTTCTCTCTCTTTTTTTTCTCTTCAAATTCTCATTGTTTTGTGTGGCGCATATATATTTGGTGCCCCCTTGTACCAATATTTATGTGTTCAAATAAATAAATAATGAATTCCTTGCACCATCTTTCCTACGTCCAGTAAGGCGTAGATAAATACGCGCTCGCACTAGAGCATGATCTGAGTCTAAGCATGTGCTCCAGAATGAGCGACAGTCTTCTATCGAGCCCCTCCATCCGTGGCTGATAGCGATGTGATCTATTTGGGTCCAACGTTGGGACGAATCCGAGGTCGCTATTTCGAAAGATGTTTTTCCTTATGCTTAAAGTTAGTGTTTGCAAGAAACAGGCGGTTATCTGAGCATAGCTGCAACAGACGGTCGCCGTTATCTGTTCTTTGAGCCGCGACACCATAAGATCCACCCAGGTGTCTTTCCTTTTTGCTTAGTTTACCTACTTGAGCATTAAAGTCCCCAGCCACTATTACTACATCTGAATGCTTAGCTTTTCGGAGAAAGTCGGAAAGCTTTCTGTAAATCTCATCTTTTACATCATCTGAGCCTCAGTCAGTGGGATAGTAGGCAGAGACGACGAAGAGGCAACGACGAGTGTCCCTATCTTTCCGAGTCATTACTGCTCCGTTTAGTCGGACAGCGCACAAACGACTGTCTACTGGGATCCAGTCTAAGAGAGCTAGTTCTGCCCTAGGACTCAATGCTATACCTACTCCAGCGAGGCCACGGGAAGCATCATCAGGGCTTCCAAATACACGAAGCGTAAATCGAGTTGCTTTGTTACTTTGACATGGTGCGGTCAAATGAATGACACTACTCGGATCCTGTGTGCGCGTTTCGGAGACGCAGCACACATCGATGGAGCGAGATTCTAAAGTCTTAGCTAAGAAAGCCTGTTGTCCTATTTGGAACAGTGTTCGGACGTTGGAAGCTCCTACGTGTAGTTTGGAGCGTGGTTTCAGGAGACCAGGAATAACATTCCGCGTACTCAAATCGTTTGCACTAACGGGGCGAGGTGATAAAGGGACATGAGAAGGGTTGTTCGTGGAGATAAGAGAGTTATTAGGAGGTGTAGGAATGATTTGAATGTGACCAACTTGGTCTCGTGTATCATGTGTCTACTGATAAAAATGCATTGCCTGAAACTAATGCTTTTATAACGAAATAAGCGATGAAAACTTCCAGAATGGGATGCAAGAAAATCATATTTAATAGCATATGTTGTGCGAAGTCAACTGTCCATTTGTATAAAGACAACCTAATGTTCTATATGTCGTTATCTATAAAGAAATCATACTAGAAGCAAAATGATGGAAGAATAGGATTTCAGAATCGGAGATGGAAACGAGGATGGGGAAAAACGAGTTGTGGTGTTCTGTGGATGTACTATAGTTGACGCAAATTTCACTCAAACATTGTGGTTCATATTAATCTTACATAGAATTTCTTCACATTTCCTGTATATATCACACTGTCTTTGTGTGCTTAAACATTTTCGTTGTGCATGATTTAGTTGGAAATTTAGAACAAGTAGAAATTTATCATTATGCTTTATAGTTGTTCGTATCTAGAATGTATAGAAGCTTGACGGCCTTCATACTTACTATGATATGAACATCTGGACAAACCAGGTTCTTTCTCAAGCTTATATTAAAGTCAACACTCAGTTTACTATCACTTGCCCATGTCCATATAAGCGGACATTAATTCATCGAAATATGCACTAAGAACTAAAAACAAAATACTTTTCTTTATTTATGGCTTTATTCAACTCACCGTCCCTAGCATATGTTCGCATCATCACTGCTTTTTAATTACCGAACGTTCCTGCTAACTACCTTTAGTACTTTTCATAGATTCAAAAATACTTAGTATCAAATATCTTAGATGGGGAATTTTATCGTACGTTTAATTTATACGCATAATCATTTTGCTAACTAAGCGTTAACTCTTTAATCCTCTTCCGAGTCTCGTTCACGAAATAAGTTTTCCAGATTCTTATACACTTACCTAAAATCTCTTCCAGTAACTTGACTACATGGGTTGTCAACAGTCGTCAAATGCCTACATGATACCTCTTAAACCAGACGAGTTGCATTATTACAATCTGCCCGACGCCTATATGGTTATTCTTATATTTGAAAAATTCCCATATTGTGATTTAGAACAATATTGTTTTTGATAAGATCCTCATCAGGCTTTACTCTAATATACAGTAATGTATTTATATGCATATATGAAATTACTAAACCAATTAACGCAGTTTATATGTCAATGATAACAATGGAATAGACTACATAAATAAACATAATAAGTGAAAAGTACAAATTGGTAGTGTGACGACAGATGTCTTAGTTGTGATAAGAATAGCAAAGTGTCCAGATAATTGGACCGTAGACACTTATTACGTAATTTTAAAACTTCTATGAATGTTATATATATATATATATATATATATATATATATATATATATATATATATATATATATTGGTGCCCCTTCATACCAATGTCTTTGTATAAATAAAATAAATAAGTAAAGAGTGCATCATGATGTCTTCTGGTAACTATTGCTGCCCCTCTACATAAATTAGAATTAATAACCCCTACAGTTCTTCATGTGACCCAGACAACTACTTATTTATTAAGTAAACGGATTAATCCCAGACAATAAAGAAGAGGTTTTCAAGTCTTAAATATCTCGAAATTTATTCGTTCTACTGAAAATCTTTTACTGTGTGTTCAATTTTTAGACTACTGTTATGAGGAAAGCTCCGTACGACAAAAATGCTCCAAGGAGACCTCTTTCAGCATTTATGTTGTTCATGAAAAAGCGCAGACAAGAATCAGAATATATTGCTTCACAGTCATTTTCAGACAGAAATCGTATTATTTCTACTGAATGGGCTGCTCTATCTGCTGAAGAGAAACAAGTGTATACTGACCAAGCTGCTGAAGGTCGTGAGTCATACAAAAAATTGTTTGCTGAATACAAAACTACTGATAATTACAAGAAATGGTTAGCTTCCAATGAAACGGTCAATGCTAATGGGTCCAAAGCTGGATGTAAACGACCAGTAAAACAAATATCACATACTAAAAACAATGATATAGAAGCGGATTGCAAAATTTCAATATTTACTCATGAATTTCTGGAATACAACAGACTTCGTGAAGTTATCTTGCGTCAATTGAAGAAGCACGTTAGTTACATTTCGACATATGACCATTGGTTTTTGTAACAAGTAATTAGGAGAAGCACAAACATCATAAACATGAATCCACTTTTCAATGGTTTGAATTATCCCGTTGTTGATATTTTGACTGGAATTTCATCTGTCTTGGACGGAATATGTGAATTCTGTTTGGATTGTCTTGACATATCTGTTATGATACAAGTTAATATATATTCTATATTTAGATAAGATAGGTGACTTAGTAGTTAGTAATCGACCGCTTCAATCACTAAATCAGTCTTCAAAACGTCTTAACTAGTGCTAGGAGCGAATTTACTTACCGATTACAAGCCTAGGTACTCGTTTTTAAGCGAAACGTTCACAGTGACACTAACTGGCTCTAAACCAAAGTTAGTTTGAACTTACGACCCAGTAGTTGAAGGTCTTAACCGCTATGTCACTGCAAAAATCGCACTTGACTGACCACAAAGGACGTGCTTTACACATTTGCAAACCGAAAGACCATTTCTTCACTGACTGTTCTTCTGAGAAGAATAATGTGTATATTTTTATGTGATTAGTATTGTTTGTTGTTTAAATGTTTGCTAATTAGCATCTGGATTCAATTTATGGTGTAATATACCTATTGTTTATATTGTAGAAGCTAATAGAAAATTATGAAGACAAAAATGGTGGTGGCGCATTGTGAAAGTCTTAATATGGGAAGAGCGTAAATTAACCGCACTCCTGATTTTTTCTGACTTAATTGGCTGTTTATATAGGTGTTATCAGCACTTTCATTGGTGCTCAACGTCTATAATAGCTGATTTGAGAATTTGCCAAGAACGCCCCCGAAAATCCAAAATACACACATACAAATAATATGAACCCAATATAATTCTGTCCACATCTCAGTATACATTAATTGTCGTTCCTTAGTTTGGAAACCACTGGAACAATATTCGTCAAGCTCTCTGTATTAAAGTTAGAAATAATTCGCTCTTACACCACAGTACGAATGGTCATGTATACTTTTTATGAGGAAGTGGCTTATTAGTTAAATAACTCAGTATTCGACCAATCAGTGTGCCAACTCACCCCACTTTCATCAGTTTGTGCAGAAAAGTGAGGTTACTAGCTCCCACACAAGTAGCGTAGTTTAAGGCTAAATGCCAAACCCCCACTTGATAAATGGAGGATGGTGAGCAGTGAAATTTCATCATAATCATATATATGGTATGAAATACTACCTAGACTGGACCAAGTAGTTTTCTTATGCGATCACTTCAGAGCTTTTGGCATAAAAAACTACTACAAAATTCAGCCCCATGGTAACCAAAAGACTAGAATAGGTTCATACACCATTGTTTCCCTTTTGGATTATAAAACACTGGTTTAGAATCAGAATCTTCCAACTCCTATATTTCGACTCTCTGTACTTTCCTTTATTTCTTCACAATATCACCGCTTCGTTTATGTGACGCATTCCTTTTTTAGTGCTTCATTATTGACACGATTTGAATGAATCAATGAAACATTAAACTTAGTCAATAAATTACACTACTATTGTCATATACTTTTTCCAGGTATCACAACTTGAAGAAGAAACCGCTCTATTAAGTAAACATGTGGAAAATCTTGTTAATGCTGAAAATCGGACAAAAAATCAAATTAATACAACGAAAGAATTATTAACTAATGAAGAAAATTTATTGAAACAACTATGTAAAGAGTTAACAATTGCTTTAAGCGATGTAAGTTAATTTGACTGAAGTTTATAAAATGTGATAGTTTAATGTATAAAACAAGTATAGTTTTGTGTACTTAAAAAGAAAGTAGAATTTCAGTAATATGTATGTATAATTAGTTAAGTGGTGTTACATTACATACATAGTATTATTATTTATTTTAACACGTAGATATTGGTACAAGGAGGCACCAAATACATATGTGCCACACAGATCTCATTTGATATGTGTGAGGGCTATGATACTGCCCGGATGCCCAAACCGAAGCAGATGGTTTTCTTAGAGGGCCACACCTGGAGTCTTCGACCTGAAGGTCTGATCCACAAGGCAGTGGAGCATCGTAAGGAGATGTAGTCCCATGGTAGCCGGTGACCAACGATTGGTTCATACGCCATTTATTCCGTCAGGATACTGGAGCCCATGTGCACCATTGGTTTGTAATCCGGTTAAAGCGCCGGACATTCGCTCTTCGTCCATTCATTTTTGTAAACAACATTAATGCCACGAGAAGTCAGTGAGTAGGACTTCCCTGGCAGAGGCTATATACGCATGGCCATGTGAGAGCATTTGGAGAGGGAGAGCGGACTCTCCCCACTCTCGGCCGTACCAAGTCATTGAAATGACTACAATCTGCACAAAAACCCTTTCTGATATTAAACAATTTAACTTTGTAAATTACATTTTATTTTCATTATCATATATATATATTATATTTATTTCTTATACAATGATTTATTGTTATTTAGGTTACTTTACCAAATAATAATACATCAGATATCAATTTAAAAGGAGTTGAACGTATTACAGAAACTAGTGTTGAATCGTTTCTTTCAAGATTAGAATCTTTAAAAAATTCTTCATCTTATTTAGAATTATCCTCAAAAATTATACAATCGATTCGTTCAGCTTGTCAAAAGAAAATCATTAAGTTGTTAACTTATGAAATAAATTAAAACAATTTGAAATTAGAAAAGTATATCTAAATGTTCTTCTTTATTTGTACATTACTTTTAACTACAAATAACTAATTACTGACATAGTTCTATCTATATATACAAATAATCCTATGTACATATCAACACGATAGAGAAACATAGTTTTCTATTGATTGTATTACATTTCAATTTCTTTTTTTTCCGAATTAAATCATTCTTCCCATGGTCTATTTACTCTTTTATTCTCCCATCCAGTTTTTCTAGAAGATTCATTAACTTCTTTATAAAATTCAAGAATATAATCTTCATCTATATTAGGTATTTGTGCTGTTAATCGGTTTCTTTCATAAATACAATATCGCATATATGTTAAATAGTATGCTGAAGCTATCATTGTTCCAATAAAAGGTACTATACGTAACCATACAGCATTGTTAAACATTTTTATACCATTTGAATTTAAAGATTGAGTGAGTGTAGTGGAACTGTAAAAACAAAAAAAGACAATATTTGAAATTATTGCATGTGTCGGTTAATAATAAGTGGAAACATTATCTTTAGTTTATCAAATACACATATAATTGCACGGTTTTGACCTTGAAATGTTTTTAAATTAAGCTAACGATCTTCTTGTAATTCCCGACCGTAACTGCTACCTTGATGTGGTGGTTGGGCTTGCCTATCGTGATGACCCAACCGAACTATATTGGTTAGAACACATGTTTCTGTAGGTACTATCATACCAGGCAGGTCGATTGGAGAACAGTAAGACAAGTTAATGTAATCTCCCAACTCTTTGGGAAGTTGAAAAAGCTACAAAAAACCTGAAGCAACAGGCCCTGACAGGTTTACCCCTGAGATTTTTAAGAATGGCGGCCCAGTATTAGCAGCGAGATTGACTGAGGTCTTAGGTAGAATCTGGGAACTGGACGTAATCCCATCGGACTGGTCTCAATCATCGATTCTGCTAGTCTATAAGTAAGGACAAAAGTCTTCTTATGACAATCACAGATGAATTAGTTTGATTAATATAATGTCTAATATATTAGCTTCAATAATACCCCGACGCCTAACCAAACCTCGTGAAGAACAGATTAGAGAGAACCAAGCTGGTTTCCGACTTGAACGTGGATGTATAGACCAAAATATTCACACTACGTCAGGTCCTAGAACATAGACACACAATCAGACGCCCCACAATGGTAGTATTTCTCGAACTTAAGACGGCATTCGACTCTGTTGATGGTAAGGTCCTATGGCAGTGTTTGTCACTGTAAGGAGTTACAAAGAAGTACATTTTAATCTCACGGTTTGAGGGAAGACAGAGAGTGTATACACCCACACCATTGTGGTCGATTCTGAGCTATGTCACCCAGAGTCTTCAATCAATTTTTACGATAGTCGCACGGACCCCAACCAAGTAGTCTGCATCTACCAACATGGCACAGATCAGAAGTTAGTGACTGTATGGATTGACCCCATGTTTTGGTTTGTCCGCCCCTAACTTTCTTCCAATTATCCCTAACACCGGTTAGCATTGCGCGTCGTGGTAGTCGGTGTTCAGGCATACGTAAGAACACGTGGCCCAACCATCTCTGTCGATGAAGGTTCACAACCTCATCAACTGACTTACCATCATTCCCTAATACCCTGTGTCTAACCTCACTTTTATTTACCCGGTGATACCAGCAATATTTCTAAGACATCTGTGATCAAATACTGGTAACTTACAAGTATCTTGTACCCTTAATGGCCACGTTTCGCAGCCGTAAAGTAGAACAGAACGAACTGCCGCGAAGCATACTCATCCCTTAATTGATAGACGGATATCTCGCCTTCGTCACAGGTGACGTAAGTTAGCAAAAGCTAAAAGAGCTTTTCGAATCCGTGCTGAGATTTCGTCAGACACCAACCCATTAGGGCTGATCAGGCTTCCAAGATAAGTGAAGCTGTCAACGCGTTCGATTACTTCACTCCCTATCCTTAGTTCAGGTGTTGACGCAGACCAATCCTGAAGCAACAACTTGCATTTGAAGGGAGAGAAGCGCATCCCAAACATTCTGGCATTGTTGCTCAGTGCTACCAAAAGACTGCATTTCATCAGCGTCTTCACCAAACAGGACTATGTCATCTGCGTATTCTGAGTCAATAAATGGACCTCCTGGTAGGAGATCAATACCCGAGAATTCAGTCGATGAGAGCGTTATTTCCATCAGTAGATCTATGATGAAGTTAAATAAAAATGTAGAAAGTGGACAGCCTTGGCGGACGCCACTTGAGGTTGCAAAAGCAGATGACAGTTCGCCATAAGCTCTGACTCGACTAGTAGTGTTCAGGCAAAAAGCTTTCACAATGTTTATGTACTTCTGAGGTACGCCTTTCAATGACAGACACTGCCACAGAACCTCTCGGTCAACAGAGTCAAACGCTGCTTTTAAGTCAAGAATGACTACCATTGTCGGACACCGATAAACGTGCCTGTGTTCTAGAACCTGACGAATGGTGAATATGTGGTCGATGCAGCCACGACCAGGTCTGAAGCCAGCCTGATTTTCACGTGTTTGCAGTTCACGAGTCTTAGTTAGGCGTCCGAAAATTATCGAGGCTAGTATTTTAGATACCATATTAGTTAAACTAATCCCTCTGTGGTTGTCACAGGATGATTTTGACCCTTTCTTAAATATTGGGACGATAAGTGATTGTGACCAGTTAGATGGGATAACGTCTAACTCCCAGATTTTAGCTAAAATATTAGTCAACCTAATAGCTAAAACTAGACCACCATCCTTAAAGACCTCTGGGGCCAATCCGTCTGGACCAGCTGCCCTTCCTCGTTTCAGATTAGCTATAGCCTTTTGAACTTCAGCTAGAGTTGGGGGACCTACTTCAATGTTCCATTCATACTGTCTGGGAATAGAGGGTAGTTGTAGAGTAGCTGAAGGCCAGCTAAACTGCTCCTTAAAGTGTTCCGCCCATCGTTCTAAACATCTGGGCTTAGAGCAAATAAGTGTCCCATACTTGACTTCTTAGTTCCGATTTTTTTTATTAGTCTGAAAAGCTGTCTGGTGTTACCTATAGTCGCTGCCTTTTCCATTTCTTGCTTTTGTTGCCCACTACAGCTCACGGTTGTTCCTAGATCTGATTTGTTTTCGCTTTTTATCATGTTTAGAGCCTGATGGAATGAGTTTACGAAAATCTATCAGTGCAGCAGAAATCTACCGGTTTTTCGAAACCCTTTGGTTCAAATCACTAGTAGATGTTGTTGCTGCTCCCACGACTGTTCGCATATGTGTCCAAACAACATTTAGGTCAGCTTTGTTTTCAGAACCGCCTAATTGTGCCCTCGGTTGTTCCTGGAATCTACTTTGGGCTTACTCGTCACTGAATTCAACTCTAATGGGTCCTCTTAATGTAGTTCCACTGCGTCCAGCTAGGTGCAAGAACGTAGACAAAATCAATAATACTATATAGTGTTGGTCGGGTTGGTGTCTGACGAAATCTCAGCACGGATTCGAAAAGCTCGTTTAGCTTTTGCTAACTTACGCCACCTGTGACGAAGGCGAGATATCCGTCTATCAATTAAGGGATGAGTATGCTTCGCGGCAGTTCGTTCTGTTCTACTTTACGGCTGCGAAACGTGGCCATTAAGGGTACAAGATACTTGTAAGTTACCAGTATTTGATCACAGATGTCTTAGAAATATTGCTGGTATCACCGGGTAAATAAAAGTGAGGTTAGACACAGGGTATTAGGGAATGATGGTAAGTCAGTTGATGAGGTTGTGAACCTTCATCGACAGAGATGGTTGGGCCACGTGTTCTTACGTATGCCTGAACACCGACTACCACGACGCGCAATGCTAACCGGTGTTAGGGATAATTGGAAGAAAGTTAGGGGCGGACAAACCAAAACATGGGGTCAATCCATACAGTCACTAACTTCTGATCTGTGCCATGTTGGTAGATGCAGACTACTTGGTTGGGGTCCGTGCGACTATCGTAAAAATTGATTGAAGACTCTGGGTGACATGGCTCAGAATCGACCACAATGGTGTGGGTGTATACACTCTCTGTCTTCCCTCAAACCGTGAGATTAAAATTACTTTATACCTTTGTTTCTACGAACTAATTTTTTCTCCCTGCATCATATCCTGATATACAATTTTTTGTATATTACTACCATTGAAGTAACTGTTTGTATGAATTTAGTGTTTATTTTGTGTTAATTTGATATATCCTACAGTGCGATTTGCGACGCTTGTATACTCCCGTCACCCAACTATCTTGGTGTCGTAGATCCCCACGTCTTTTTGAATGTTTCACATGAAATAGTGTTTTGTCCTTTTGTAACGATTGCTTGAGTCCTTATGAAATGAGGTACGATATATTAACAGTTTAGTATTCGGATAAATAATATCCGCCGAAGCCAGCTCACAAAGTATGTAAAACTACGGTGCATTTGTTGTCTTAAACCATATCTACCCTGATAAGTGACTTCTAAGTTTTAGCGTAAGACTATTTAGGACCCTTAAGAAGTTTCAATAGATATCGTTTAAACGCGCCGAATCACCCGACCGTCTTTCCAAAAGATATCAGTCAGTCAGTAACAACGTGGAACTTTGTACGTACGTACATCAGTTCGAATTGCCATACCAGAAGATATGGATCGAATTCAACGTTAAACTGATAACAAACTGAATTAGGTGGCTCTCTACAAGTCTTTGTCAGCATAGTCTGACTATTTGTACATCAGCTAGTTAGATTACATTGTCTGGGCATTTAAGTGTTTCGGGAGAGATGAGTTACCAAACACTGGTTACGATAGTCTTGTGGACACCAACCAAGTAGTCAGACTAGGCTTTCGTGTACACAGTTCATACCGAGATTCCCAATTTTTCACGTAATTTGATAGCTGTCAAATGGAATACTTTCGTGTCACTAAGACGTATACTTCAGGTCTTGGGCTTTTCTCAACTATACTGAATACAGATTGTCGATTTTCTCTTTGGAAAATAGGAT